ATTTTTTTATCCTTCTTAAAATTGGCTTTTGATACCCTTGTTCAGGAAACCCACTCGTATTAAACTCCTTTTTCGCATTAACTTTCTCTGCGGCGTGATCCTACTTACCATTATTCTGAGTTTGTTAAAATCTGCTTTATTAGTTTATTATTTTATTAATAGTCTGCCTTTATTATTATTTTTATAAACAACTCAAAGCAGCGAACATATCTAATATTCCTCCTTCCTCCTTGTTTTTGAAAGCATAAGCATATCTTCGGCGATACAAACATGCTATCCTTTTGCATTGTCGTTTTTCTTCAGGGTTTTGGCTTCTCCTTCTCAACTACACCTTCTACACTGAGTAGTATGTCATGCCAAAGAAAGCCCCTCTCTTTTTGTTTTTTTCTGAGGTCCCAAAGGAGAACTTTGCCAGTAAAGCAAGTTAGGGATTTCCTGTAGGGATTCTGCTTGGCAGAGTTGTAGCCAAACAGATGTCAGGATATTTACTGTAAATTTTCCCACTGAGTATGACTTCACACCTCTTCAAGAAAGCTGGGTTTAGCTTTTGAAAGACATGAACTTTTCCTCATTTCAGGAAGACAATAATAGACCTCAGCAATAGTGCTGGGCCAGTTGCGCCTCCATTAAGTTCATCCTGAGCCTCTTTATTAGCATTTCTGATCAATTCCTCTCTTCCCGTTACTGCCTTTCTTCCATTTTCAAAATTTATTTTATTTACTTTTTTGTAATTTGCTTTTTTCTGAATGAGATGGACTTTGAGTGAGCCTTGTAATTATTATTATTGCCTGCCAGAAGGTTTTTACAGACTGCATGGGGAGAAAAGAATTTCTGGGGTTCCAAGTTGGGATTAAATTGAGCACTTTCAGCCTGATACTCTGAACTGTTTAAAGGATTTTTTTAAAACTAATTATATATGCATGTTAATAATTTGTGTTGCTTTTAATTTATTACCTTGCTAATTTGGTCATCCTACTTGGATGGAAAGGGAGGACATAAATCAAATATATTAAACAATCAAACAAACAAACAAATCTGGAAATAAGGCATAGTGCTTTTTATGGTAGCTGTGGGGGGGGGGAGGAGCTGGACTAATTTCCAAACCAAATTAGCTGGAATATTTCAAATGTTCTTCTTAGGCCTGTTTCAATCGAGACGGGTGGCAAATAAATTTAAAAATAAATAAATAAAACGATAAAGATATGGAATACTGAGTACAGGAGTAAGATGCGGCTCCCAAAAAGAATTAAAACCCTAAAATACGGCATATTCAGATGGAAGCTAGAGAGCTAAAAATAGGAAGTAGGTGGAGAGAGAACAGCAGAGGATTGTCAGTGTCACTGTTTTGCTTCCCTTCTTTCTGAAACTCCTTGGCTACGTTACTATGCACCCTCCAGAGTAAATCCCACTAGATTTTTTTTTCCTTCCTAAGGTTTCTTTTCCATCTGTATGTTACTTTCCTCGCCCTTGTGGGCTGGGGAGTGTTTATTCCAGCCCAGATTCCTGAACTGATAGGATGTATGCCCTGTTCAGGGCTGCCCCATTTCATTTGCATTGATCCACACTGCTGGTAACAACTACACGCTTTGGAATAAGTCAGGGCGGTACCTCCTGTTTCTTTTTGTGAGGTGCTTTGTAGCCCCCAAACTTCCCTGGGAGTAGAAGGGGGAGTTACTTTGCCATTTATGTAAGAAGTGCTCCAGAGGGCAGACATTCATCCCAGCGCATTCCTGCACCGATGTGGGCATTTGCTGCTGGAATGGTGGCAGTGAGAATGGAGAGGGGCAATTGTCAGAGGCGTAAGTGCTGAGCAGCTGCTAATGTCTCGTTATCACCATGCTGTATTTTCAGCTTGTCATTATGGCTGGGACGGTCTTGCTTGCCTACTACTTTGAGTGCACGGACACTTTCCAGGTACATATTCAAGGCTTCTTCTGTCAAGACAGCAATTTGATGAAACCATATCCAGGAATAGAGGATGAAAGCTTCATTTCCCCTCTTGTCCTCTACTGTGTCCTGGCTGCAACCCCAACAGCAATTGTAAGTAGATTGAATATATTAAATATATATATGTAAATGCATATTTTAAAGATTCTTTGACTATTGGATTGTTGATTGCTGACTTCCTGGAGAAGAGACTTTATTCCTTTTCTACCCTCATGATTTTTATCTAACTCCATAAACGTCAGTATAGTCATGAGGAGTCCAGCACAACTTCAAGGCATCTTTAGTTTTGTTTCGTTTTATCTGATAAGCTTGTGTCAGACATTGGCACATTATCATAATCCCTTTGGGTATTAATTATCCCACTAATTAATTAATTATCTGTATGTGGTTTCACAGGAAGACAAAACACCATGTTACATATTTCTCAGCTGAAGTGCAATAGCTAAATGTTTCTCGCTGGGTAAACAGCTTCACACATTTAGATCAACCACAGCACTTTGATGTAAATGATTGGTGCTGGAGTTTATCACCATGAGTTCTCAGGGAGTTTAGTAAATAAATAAACAATGCTTTTAGTAAAAGCAAAATGAGAATCTTGCAAGGTGCGCGAGGTTTCATATGCTGAAGGCAAAACTGACTGCTTCAAAAAGCATTTAAGCTGAGTAGTGCTTATGAACGAATAAACAAAAAAAGCCTTTTGCAAATCCAATGTCAGTTTCCCAACTCTTTCCAATATAATTCCCATGGAAAATAATTAAAGGCTGTCATAAGTCCAAGAAAACTATTGATTAGGAAATAAACGCCAAAAATGTCCTGATTGCTTTTCTTTTCATGGCAGACATTAGCTTCTTTGTGTTACAAAGCAAATAGATTTAGCCACTGATTTAATTTAAAACGCTGCTTCAAATAAGCTTCTGACACATGTTTGTTTAGTTTCCTTTTGTGCAACCCGGTTTGTTTTTCCTTCCCACCAGAATATTTGTTGTACATGTTTGCAATTTCTTTCCTTAAGTTCACTGCAAAAAGAGATTCAACAGAAGAATAATGAGCAACATATATTAAGCACATTTAACTAGATGAACGTGTCCATATAGGATAGGCTCAGCTTAGCTTCTTATTCAAATTCACAAGTCTTAATCCAGCATCCTTTCAGGATGTGCACCGCTGTGAGCAATATGATTGGCTGATAGCAAGAGTGCTACAAACATACTTTCTTCCACCCACATTTCCAGAAAGGTTTTTGTTTTTTTTAATGACATCTGTTTTTAAAGAAATGATTCAAAATAAAAATTTAAAAATGCTGAACTAATGTGCAGGTCAAATATTCAGATAACACTTGTTAAAATGTTCAAAGGTAGGAGATATCTGTTGAAGGTATGGCAAAAGAATATTGAAAGCTAGAAGGGAAAAGGTATTGTGAATTTTTAAAGGTGCATTTGCAGATACAAGTGTACAGGCTTCTAGAAAAAGGAAATAATCTGAAAAGATATTTGAGGAGTGTTTACTTGCTACCTACACTCACTCAGGGCATGTTCAATAAGAATGTCCAGCCATATGACCTCTATTCCAGTTCATGCCAGGCAGCCCGTCAGCTATAGAAAAAGATTAAATGTTTATTATTGTATCTTTCTGAGATTCTTCTATATGCAGTAGAACCTTAGCTAATTAACATTCCCCATCCTATGTAAATGTATTGAGACATATGCAGGATCCTTTAACACTGATACTAAACACACAGCCCCAGGAGATATAACTAGTCTGTGGTTAGGAAATAACAGTGGGAGGTCCAATTTTCTTATCACTTTCGTGCATAAATGCAGTGCATGGAATTAATCAGCTGAATCCTTCAGTGACACACTATATTTTATGCAACCAAAGTGTAGCTATGATGGAATTTCCATGTAGTATGGAAAAATCTTCTTCACCTGGAAGATTTATTTGAAGTTCTTTGATTCAATAGAAACATGAGCTTCCTTTACCTCAGGGGTTCCCAAGCAGGGGTGTGAGGCTATATTCCAGGGGATGCAAAAACTTGGGTTTTCCACATTGTAGTGTATATGCATAATTTCAAACTTTTGTAAGGGGTGCGAGAATATATCAGAAGCATTCTAGGGGTGTGGGGTATAGAAAATGTTGGGAACCATTGCTTTACCTGCTAATTTTCCATCCAGTGGTTGAAGCCACGTTAATGATAGAGTAGCAATTGATGGTCACATGGTTGAAGATGAAAGCCAAAGTGTGCTTCTCTTCTGCTCTGCACTCCAGGGCAACTGGACATCATGAACTTATTAATATATATATGGCATGCACAGTTAAAATAGGTTATGTACACCTATTACTTTTCTGACTAGGAGACAGACCAATGCTAATGACTGACTCAAAAATATCCAGTGCTTTTTGTTGCTGGGGATGGACTAGAATCTGGGTGTCCCTGATGCAATACTATACTAATAATGGCTACACTACACTAGTCTCCTGGATAAACTTACTTATCAACAAAAAAAATCTTAATGTCATTGCTTCAATCAAAGTGGTAGATTGTTATAGCTCTAGCAATACCAGCAGTAGTTGCATTTCTTGAAAATAAGTGCCCAAACTTTATTGAATTGCAGAGATTCAAGGGGTGAAGAAAGCATCATGTGAGGGAGATATGTCCTGCTTGCCAATTAAAATTTTGTATATAATTAAGAAAGCTAAATTTGGTGTTGTGGTTAAAATGTTGGACTAGAAAGTGGGACCAATCTGCCCTTAGGCATGGAAGCTCACTGGGTAACTTTGCTAGTTCTTTTTCAGCGTAGCAGATTTGTTGTGGGCAAAAATCGTTGGAGAAAGAGCTGTCATTCTCATGAATGAAAGGCAAGATATAATCTAAATAAATACATAGTAGCGAATAGAATCTGAGAAAGCAACAGTTAGGAACTGATGGTGCACCTGATTGGAGGAGGAGTGATTACTAGAAGAAACAGCACAGAAGACAAAGTAGACAATCCATTAAAGGCGGAATCCAGCTAAATGTAACCATTCCTATAGATGTTTATTTGGAAGTGGGCTTATTTGAGACTTCCTGTTGTACATCTCATTACATTATGATTATCAGTAGCAGTATCATTATTATGACTACCATTACTCTGTTGCTTTGCATGAACACTGAAAGCTTCTGCACCAGAGACAAATTCCTTGTGTGTCTAATCATACCTGGCCAAATAAAGTATTCTATTCTATTGGCTGGAAATTTTAGCAACAAACTATCCAGCAACATCACTGTATGTCTGGAAATCACATAAAAGTTGGTTGGGTTCTGTCTTTTTCATGCCTCCAGTTGCAGGTAGCACAAATGGGAGAATTTTATTTCTGTGTCTGCCTTAAAGGTACTCTAGTTGAAGTTAATTTCCTTCCTGTTGGAAAAAAAAAATCAGATATCTTTATAAAAAATCAAGTCTTGTGTGCCTGCACCATTATTCCACTGATAAGCACTCAGATGAATAATAATAAAGATGTTGAAGAGAATGGGAAGTAATAGGAGAAGAGGAAGCAGAGGGTTTTTTTTAAAAAAAACTGGGAAAATAAGGAGAGGCGGAGATACAAGAAGCTCTACTGACAGAAATGTACCAAGAGGGAGAAGTAGCAATAAAACAGAAATACACTCTTCCAAAAAGAGCACCATGAGGATTATTTTTTTGTCCACAATGTATGTTTATTGCATAATGAATTTGATAGCCTCTATATTCCACAAGGCTTATTTATTGCCATTTTTGCTTTTAATATAGCTGTTCCATATTCCCTTTTCTATTCTGTAGTTCTTCCTGCATCCAACTGAGATTCAGCAGCAACAAATTAAAAAAAGGAAATGGATTAATTACTTTTTTAAAAAAATAAAGTATAACGTTTTCCTCTATTAATTTGTAATTAGGTTTTGTTCCTATACTGATTGTACTAATAACAAAAAATAAATACATCTTTTAAAGGATAAAATTGTGTTACTCCCAACTGAGGGTGATTAGTAAAATATAAAATAAATTTAGTTCATATGAATGGAAAATCATCAGGCATATACCTCCCCTTACTTTAGCAAGTGAGGAATTGAAAAAGTCTCATTTGTTTTGGTTGCAATTTTTACTTATTTTTAAATTTAAGTTTTTAGACATTTAACTAAATATCTCATTTCAGAGATATTTTCTTACCAGATTCCTCAGTGCTTTCAACAATGGCACAGCTTCTATTGTATTGCCTTCACTGGAAAAGTCAGGATACATTCAGAGATGGATCAGCCTTGAAAGTAGCCCATGTTGAACTGTCAAACACCAGCTCAGGAAGTGTTTTATGACATTTTGTATCATGTCATAAAATGCTTTATGATAATGTTTATGTCATAAAGTGTTTTATACGTTTTGCCAAATTTCAATTCCGAGGGAGTCATGGGTCCCGGTTTTGGGATGTATTCCATATGTTAGCCCATTTGTGGTAACTTGATTCAAAGCTATTCCACCCAATTAAAAGTTACAAGATTCAGAGTTTTAGTAATATATAGAAGATAATCTTTGGAAAATTAAGGACTCAAGTCTGTTACTTCAGATGTAAACCCAGTGAAATGTAGTAAATGGTTAATTAATCTCTTCATCCATAGATGATCATCCAGAATTGGTGAAAATTCAATTTATCTGACCTCTCTACTACTCCCACTAATTGTCCCCTATTGGTGCTCTGTTCTCTGCTGTCATAGCCAAGTTAGGCTAAGGAATGGGGTGGGATGAATTAACATCCCTTTCCAGAGAGTGGTTTCCGGTTATCAAGAGAAGTTCAGCAGTGACCAATTCATTTGTCTTTGTGATTCTCAGCATTCCCCCTTTCCCTTCCCTTTTACAGATTTTTATTGGAGAGATATCTATGTATTTCATCAAGTCCACTAGAGAAAGCTTAACTATCCAAGAGAAAACCATTTTGACAGGAGAATGCTGTTACCTGAATCCACTACTTCGGAGAATCATTCGATTTATAGGTAAGCATAATTAACACATTTGTAGAATAAAATAAGAAAAACAATTTCATATGTTTCTATGCACAAATCTCCCATGTAAGGATCCCCAGGGAGGTGGGTGGGAGGAAGATGTGTGTGAGAAAGAATTTGCTAGCTCCAATTTTTAGACACGGCCTTTTTGGGCATTTTTCTGGCACAATATTTCACACCTAACAAATCACATTTCATAAAGCTTAGTGATATAGAAGACCTTGTACAGTTTGATTGATATCCAGAGACAGATTCTCTCAAAGGGGAGACGCCTGTGACAAAAGAAGGGCAAAACTATTTTCTTCTTTTTCCTTTCAGAAATAAGAAATAAAATTCATTATGGAAGGCCAAGTACTAACCTGCCATTCTGATGACTTTTGGCTGGCAACCATCACTTTTATTTTCCATTAGTTTCCTATAGCAGTCAAGATTTTCAGTGGCTTATGAAGTAGAATTTCCAACTAGAGGCACCCTCTAAAAACAGATTACAAAAATAAAATAGTGGTTTTCTTCTGGAAATTATATGAAGAGATGAAATACAGGTGCTCCTCGACTTATGACCACAATTGAGCTCAAAATTTATGTTGCTAAATGAGAAATTTGTTTTGCCCCATTTTACAACTTTTCCTGTCAGAAAGTTTCAAAAGGTAACCCTGGGACACTGCAACATCATAAATATGAATCAGTTGCTAAGTGTCTGAATTTTGATCACTTGACTGTGGGGATGCTACAACAGTTGTAAGTGTAAAAAACAATGACGTAACTTTGAACAGTCACTAAATGAACTGTTATAAGCCGAGGACTACCTGTATAAGAGCTGGAAACATAGCTTCCATGTTCTTCCAGTGAAAATATATTCTGATTTAGTTGAAGTCTTAATTTTGTGAAAAAATTGGGAGAAATTTGGATCTAAGCAGCAATCAAGTTCTTTTACTATTTCCACAGGACTATGATTCCTGTCACTCCATTATGATTATTCCCTGTGTTCTTATGAGCAAAACAAAATAATTTCTTTCTTCTTTCTTTTCCAACTGAACTGTGTCCAAGGAATAGGGCTTAGGACATTTGACCTACTCTGTGTTTCACATGCATTATCTAAATCATATTAGCAGCCTTGTAGTGTTATTCCCATCTTGCAGGAAGAAACTGAATTGAAGAATTAGTGTCTTATTAGTGGCTTCCTTGTGTGTATCCATTTTAAATGAACATAGAATTTAAGATTTCCTGCAGCTTGCTTCTTTCCTGAATAAAGTAATCAAAATGAAGACATCACTTGTAAGAAATAAAAAAAAAACCCTGATATTTTTAATGATTTTAAAATACGCATTTTAAGCAATTTCTATTGCACTGATAAGTGGTAAAGAGGCCATTAGAAAATCTAGGAAGTGTTTTCACTGTGCTTCTGAAGTCCAAACTAATCAGGCAATCAGGATTTCTGCTAAAAGCACTTCAGCTGTGCATATATGGCTAAATATTTATTTTGGCCGATATGCTTTTCAGCAGCTTCAGTTAGTGTACATCCCAAGTATTTTCTTTTTCTATCTGCCTTGATTTCTTGTAGTTAGAGGATTAGATAGGCTGGGCTAAATGTGAAAGTTGGTTCAGTTTAGATCAGCGCCCACCCAACCTTTTGGGCACCAGGGACCGGTGCCATGGAGAAAGGTTTTTCCATGGACCAGAGGGGTGTGTGGTTTTGAATACTGCCTGCATCCCAAGTATGGAGCTTTCCTTGTTTGTGCAGCCTGCTTTCTGGCATGCTGCTGACCGGTGCTGGTTCACGGATCGGGGGTTGGGGACCCCTGGTTTAGATGGTTTTCATCTGTATATAAGCTTCTGAAATATGTAGTTCCTTAGATAGAAAACACTTTATGTGGATCATATTGATAGGCAGAACCTCCCGATAATGGTGAATTAAAAATAAAGCATCTGATGTGATGAAAGAAGAGTGGTTATTTCTCATATAAGGTGTATCCATTATTATCAATATAAGAATACAAAACAAAATTTGAAGAAACCCAGCTAGGTGATCATGAATTGTTAGGCGTAGTTGCACCTGCTTAGAAGTTGGATGGGGAACCATAAGGGCTATGAGAAGAAATCAAAAGAAACAACTTCCATTTTGTTGCCAAATAATCAAGGTAATCTCCAGGAATGCAGCTTAACACCATGGACATATTCCTGTACTATTAGAATAATAAATAAATGAGCACCGGGCTGGAAAACCTTTAGGCCTGCAAATATTGTTGAATGCCAGTTCTTATCAGCAGCAGCTAGCATGACCTATAGTTAGGAAGTAAATTACTCATAGCCCCGTTGGGTCATATTTTCAGAGATATTTCCTCATCTAAACAGAGAAGCAGAATGACCATGGATTGGCAAAAAAAGCGTGAGAATGAGAGCTAAGGGCTTGTCCTGTGACATTGCTTCTAGGAAGCGAAGCTGATAGGAATTATCAAAAGTTACTGCTTGTTCTCTTTGGCTGACCTGAGGAACTGTCTTATTTTGCTGGGGGAGAGAGAAACAAAGGGAGCCACAGACCATGAGGAAAACTGCACTCTTCTTCCCTCCCGTATGTCCCCAAGAGCCCCCCCCTCCAGGGAAGAAGGCACACCCGTTGATTGCCAGCATCCCCCATCCAGCCCTATCTCACCAGCAGGCATCCAAGTCATCATTTATTCTTTCCTTGCCACTCACTGCTGTTAAAGAGATTTCAGATTTCAGCCTTGATTACAAGGCAGCGAATCACTGCTCACCTGCAGGTCTTGCCACCAGGTGATTGGATGTAGCAGTGGGAGTGGGAGTGATTTCTGACTTCCTGCTGGCTTCCCCATTGACTTTGTTTGTGAAAAGCTATCAGAAGTCATTCTTCCTCCTCCTTGGTTTACTGAGGAACTGCCTGCCAGTTTGCTGGAGGGGGGAGGGGAAATAGTTGTAAACTCAGCTCCCACCTCCAGGGAGTAAGAGGGCTCACCCATTGACAACCAGCATTCCCAGTAAGCCTACCTTGAAGTATAATGGCAAACATGTTACTGAGAGAGAAAGAGACTCTGAAGGTTGTAAATGTGACCATTGGTTGCAAAGTTATTTTTTCATCATTGTGGTAAACTCGAACTATTGCTAAACAAATAATTGAAACTAAGGACTCTCTGTACCTGTACATTTATGCTGAATAAGCCCCATAGGATGGCAGCATTTAGCTGATATGGAAAATTAAGCAAGGGTGGCCATAGTCAGCCCTTGGAGGATCACAGACCAAATGTAACTATGGATGGACTTTCGGTTTTGCGGCAACTGTGGTCGAGTGAAAAGATTTGTCTTTTCACCGGCCAATTTTCCTTTGCTGGTAGACCCCAAAGGGGGTTGAAAGTCGCCCTGGAGGGGCGACCACCGAGGAGGAGGCTTGCTGGTGACGGTGGGAGGGCGGCAGCCTCTCCCTCGGCTCCAGCTAACTCCTTAGGGCCGATGGATTAAAGATCGTCCTGCAAGATGGCCGATCATTTAGCTGCACCAGCCGAACTCAAAAGAACAACTAAACATGAAGAAACCACCGCGTAGAAATCTGGTTGAGACTTCCCCCCCCCCTTACCCGCAACTATTTTTTCTGCAAAAAGCCTTTGGATGACTTCCCTATCCTAAGAAAGCGATGTTCAACTATTTTGGGGAAAAATACTTTGAATAAAACTACAAAACAGCATTTATTGAACTTTTAATCTTTGGGATAGTTGGGACCCCTGGAAAAACCTGTAATATAGAACATTATTTTACTTACTATATCGGAGATACTTGCTTCTTCCTGCCTCTTTCTTCCTTGCTCTCAAAATGAGATAAACGCTTTTAACTTGGGGAAAGAAAAAAGTTTCTAGGCTCACTTAGGACATCTTGTGGTGAAAAGTGTTACTGCAATTATAACAAGAAGACAAAGGCTTGGAAACAGCTGTGGGTTGACTTTGTGATTTAGAAATTGTGAAGGCGGAAGTTTATTGACTTTTAATAAATATAGCTTTTACTAAAAGACTAAAAGACGATTTTACTATGGAAATGGAAGAACCTTACCCACAGCTTGACTATGAGCTTATACTGGAAAAAAATACTGGAAGCTACAGAGTATGTGAAATCATGGAGAAAAATTAAAGATCATCTTGCAGAACCACAAGCTGAGCCTCAAATTTTAAAAGATCAACCTATAGGCCAAGAAGAAGCCAATATGCAACAGTGTACATAATTTAATGTGATGGAAAAAGAACCTATTGACCAATTGAATCTTAGAAAAACCTTGGACCCAAAATCCCAGACTGAGACTTTAATTGATCACTCTACAAGTCAACTAATTACTACAGAAGAGGAAGTTTATATACAAACTATGGAGAACTCTGAAGATCAAAGAATGTCTTCAACTGAAACACTCCTACTTTTAAATATGATATTGGAAGATGGGGAGGAGAAATTTGACCAGAATTACATTGATAAATATCACTACTCAAATATGGAGATTTGATGACATAGATATGGCATCATGGACACCAGCTTGGCACAGAAAAAAAGCCGGAGTTAGATTTAAAAATATGACTTAAATTCTTACTTATTGGGTCAAAAAGGCTTTAGAGATTTGGACTGATTTGACAATTAACTGATTATGTGAAATTAGTAAGATGATAACTTGTGTAATGATATGTTGTTGTTAATTGTGAAGTTGTGTCCGACCCATCTTTGTTGTTGTTAATTGTGAAGTTGTGTCCGACCCATCGCGACCCCATGGACAACGTTCCTCCAGATCTTCCTGTCCTCTACCATCTTCTGGAGTCCATTTAAGTTCACACCTACTGCTTCAGTGACTCCATCCAGCCACCTCATTCTCTGTCGTCCCCTTCTTCTATTGCCCTCAATCTTTCCCAGCATTAGGTCCTTCTCCAGTGAGTCCTTCCTTCTCATTAGGTGGCCAAAGTATTTGAGTTTCAACTTCAGGATCTGGCCTTCTAAAGAGCAGTCGGGGTTGATCTCTTCTAGGACTGACCGGTTTGAACGCCTTGCAGTCCAAGGGACTCGCAGGAGTCTTCTCCAGCACCATAGTTCAAAGGCCTCAATTCTTTTGCGCTCAGCCTTTCTTATGGTCCATCTTTCACAGCCATACATTGCAACTGGGAAAACCATGGCCTGGACTATACGCACTTTTGTTGGCAGGGTGATGTCTCTGCTTTTTAGTATGCTGTCTAGATTTGCCATAGCTTTCCTCCCCAGGAGCAAGCGTCTTTTAATTTCTTGGCTGCAGTCCCCATCTGAGGTGATCTTGGAGCCCAGGAAAATAAAATCTGTCGCTACCTCCATTTCTTCCCCATCTGTTTGCCAGGAATTGAGAAGGCCGGATGCCATGATTTTATATGTTTGTCTTAGACATGATAATTACTTTGGTTGAGGTTTAAATATTATTCAACGGGCTGAAATGTTTCTTTATTTTTTATTCTGTTTATATAGAAAACTATTTTGTAATAGAAGAAGAACTAGAGAGATTTCTGATAAGAGAAGAAAGGATATTAACCAATGATTTATTAAATTAAGAAATGGAATATATATGAAAATATTAGAATGTCATTGATGGAATAGTATGTATGTTATAGAAATTTTATTAATATATTTATTTAAGATGAATTGGAATACGTTAACCGAAATCAGTAAAGTTTAAATCAGGATGATGATCGTTTGGACTGACTGAATTTTATGAAGAAATAGATTAAACTATATTCCTTATATCATGAGAGGGAAGTAGAGAGGGAAATTTTTAATGCATTAACTCCAGTTATATATGTATGACTTTGTTTTTAGATGACTAACTTCCCCTTCACCACGGTGTTTTCCTGAACACTCTGATGTAAAAATTAAAAAACCAATAAAATTTGTTTAAAAAAAATGTAACTATGGATATAGCAAGTGGCTGTACATGAACCAGCTTATTGGGGCTTGGAAACTAAGCAGGGAACATGAATGAAAAACTATCAAGAAATACTACGTTGTAGATGGTAGAATGAAATGGAAATTTGAGACCTGACCTGACCTTGACTTGACTTAACTTCTATATCTATCTATCTATCTATCTATCTATCTATCTATCTATCTATCTATCTATCTATCTATCTATCTATCTATCTAGTATTCCTTGACTAGATGGGATATTTTTGCAATCTCTTAATTGTGGCAAAGGAAACTAAGCAGGGAACATGAATGAAAAACTATCAAGAAATACTACGTTGTAGATGGTAGAATGAAATGGAAATTTGAGACCTGACCTGACCTTGACTTGACTTAACTTCTATATCTATCTATCTATCTATCTATCTATCTATCTATCTATCTATCTATCTATCTATCTATCTATCTATCTATCTAGTATTCCTTGACTAGATGGGATATTTTTGCAATCTCTTAATTGTGGCAAAGGGTACCTGTTAAACTGGGATTGTTACTAATAATGACAAAAGGTTTTCACTGACAAAATAACAAAAGTGTTTTCTGATTTTCCAATAGAGAAATGGAGATTGTATAAACTTTCCATCCCAAAACGCTTATCCATGCTTCATTTAATCATCGCATATTCGGTTATTCTAATGTTCTGTATTTTCATTAGATCCTAACCATTTCCCTGCCCTCATTAGTACAATTCTGAATTGATTACTTGAAGAAGACTCGCTTCATTTCTCTCTTCATTTTCCTCTACATACATTCCCATATTATGTTCTGAACATTAAGGAAAGTTGGGTTCTCATTTTTTATATGTGCTGGGCAGTTGGTGTACTTAACTTAAACAAAAGCCATACCTTGAACGTGTCTGATACTAGCATAAAATAACATTAGCAACTTTGAAGGGCTCAAGTACATCTGAATGTCTCCATATCTATATAGTTTTTTTTTCTAAATTTGCAGCCTCCGCACTTGGTTTAATTACATATATCCTTATTTTTAAATCTCAAAGAGATTTGATTGCAGATCTTCATCTTACGTAGTTTGGATCTGACCTTCAGTTTTTTTCTTCCTAGTTGTATTGCAAATTTTCCTTCTTCCCCTTTTTTTTCTAGTGGGGGAAAGAAGCTGTTATTTTTCTTCCATGCCTATCGTGTGTTCAGTTCTTAATAATAATTCCACTTTTCTTGTTGTTTTACCTTTTCACTCTCCCAGGAGTATTTGCATTTGGTCTTTTTGCTACCAACATATTTGTAAATGCTGGCCAGGTAGTGACTGGAAACTTGGCACCCTATTTCTTGACTGTCTGTAAACCCAACTACACTGGGAGTGACTGCCGAGTTCATCACCAGTTTGTTAACAATGGGAATATCTGCACCGGTGACCAAGATGTGATTGAGAAAGCGAGGAGATCTTTTCCATCCAAACATGCTGCTTTAAGCATATATTCAGCCTTATATGCTACAGTAAGTACATAAAGAGATTCTGCTTTTATCTGTCCTTCATTTATCATTTCTGATTGCTTTAACGTCCTCTCATTTCTCTATAAAGATTTAAATGCAGAATCCCAGAGATCCGCCATGGCAGGCTTGCTGGGCTGTACCGTATCACAATCAAATACACAGGTCGTCTCGACATACAACGGTTTGTTTAGTAATGGTTCAAAGTTACAATGGCACCAAAAAAAGGTGACTAATGGCCATTTTTCACACTTGCAGCATCCCTCTGGGGGATGGGGTCACATGCTCAAAATTCAGACGTTTGGCAGCTGGCTCATATTGTGACAGTTGCAATGTCCCAGGGTCATGAGATCCTTTCTGATCTTCTGACAAGCAAAGTTGCCGGGGAAGCTTCACAACCGTGTTACTAACTTAACACTTAACAACTGTGAACAGAAAGGTCGTACAATGAGGCAAACCTCACTTAAGAAATGTCTCCCTTAGCAACCGAAAGTTTGGGCTCAATTGTGGCCGTAAGTCAAGGACTACCTGTAAGCATTGCCATCTTCTCAGTGTGATCATGTTTATTTATAGAGCAGGGGTGTCAAACTTGCTGTGTCATGTGTCGTGTCGTGACGTATTGTGACTTTTTTCCCCTTGCCGGAGCTGGGGTGGTCCTGGCTTCTGCGTGACGCATAGTTTCTAATATTCACTAAAATCACTTAGAAAAAAAAAATCTTTATAGGACATCTGGTCCAACCCCATGCTTAATGTAGGATTTCTTAAAGCATATTGGATAGATGGGTATCCAGATTCTGTTTGAAAATCTCCTGTGAAAATGATAATACCATTGTATTTAAGAGTGTCAACCAGTGGAATAGATTGCCTATATGTTATGATATAATCTATTCCATTGGTTGACAGCTGTTAAATCAAAAGTTTCGTAATATCTAAACTAAATCCCAGTAGTAACCCAGTAGTTGTGGTTCTGAGGGATCACAGAATACCTTCACTCCTTTCTGTACATATTAACCCTTTAAAAATCTGAAGGCTGCTGTCATCATTTCCATCCCGGTCTTCTATTCTGCAAGCTAAGCATATTCCTTGAATCACAAAGGTACTTTTTCAAAAGGCAACTGGATTTTGTTTTTCCTTCCATTCCTTTCTTACTCCAAGGAAAAACGAAGTCCAGTTACCTTTTGAAAAAGCATCTTTGGGACAACCATGAGCTGGATGACTGAGAATCTCCCTAGACATTCCTTGAATCATTTTTTCACTGGAATTGGTTTCCAGTCCCCTACCCAGGTATCTTAGTAGCCAGCCCTCCTCTGATCTTACACTCCTGTTTAGACTGTGGGGCCCAGAACTGAATGCAGTATTCCAAGAAAGAATTAGACCAAGACAGAATAATGCTTTCCTG